CACAGTCTTTGTGTTCAGTAGCACCTGACGAGCCCTCTGCCACAGGGGGCCTGCTCCCAGAGCTACGTGGAGAACAGTGGGGTCGGAGGAACACCAGATAGAGCGGGTGATGTCCTGGCATCCTCCATATGTGCACACTCATGCATGCATGTGCACACATGGAGGACTACCCTTGTCTAGGAGAGAGGCATGTGCAGAGTCATCTTGTCGTGCTCCTTTGCCTTTGGTTTGGATCAACGTTGATGTGTACGCTGTCTCCTTTGCTGTCGAGGAAAAACCAACTACCTAGCACTGTGTCCTCCTGATGGGGAGGGGGGGGCAATGTGGAGTGGGACTCAGGTGTGGTGCAAGCTTCTTAATTACACTTACAGTAGAAGACATTCTAGAAGGGGAGGGAAAATTTTGCCTAGATTATTTTTGAAGTAGAATTCGTTATCTAAAAATATCAAGGACAAAGAGACAAAAAGGTTGCTACCTTTCCCAACTACTGACTTTACTTTTGTTTTTAATTAAATTTACGAGAGCTTCCACTATGAAGATAATGTGTGTCATCATAGAAAATTTGGGAAACATAGAATATACTGAAAGCACAAGAAAAAGACTTGTTTACCTATAACTTCATGGATGATTTACTAATTCATTTATTTTTTCCCCTTTTATTAAAAAATTGTGGTTGGGCCAGCAGGTGGCATGGCCAACTGCAGTTCAAGTCCCGGACCTGGCGGTTTGCTTTCTCACTCATACCCCCTTCTCATTCTAGTCCTCTCTGATCAAATTAAAAATAAATCAATAAGTAAAGTTAAATAAAAGAATTGTTTTATAACATGTGGTTATGAAAATACAATATACATAACTTTATATCCATTTTTCCATGCAACTGACAAACTGAAGGTGAATGGATGTTAAAATGAATGTTATAGGGACCAGCAAGTGGCATGATAGTTAAGGTGCTGGACACTCCCACATGGACGACCACGGTTCGAGTCCCAGACCTGGTGGCTTGCTTTCTCACTTTCTCTCTCTATGTCTCTCTCTGGTCAAATTTAAAAAAATAAATAAATAAGAATGAATAAACAAAATTAAATAATTATTTTTAAAAATGAATGTTATAGATTTGAGTAGGGTGATGGTTGCACAACTCTGAAAATATGCTAAATATTGAATTGTATGGCATATAAATTATATCTCAATAAAGATGTCAAACATAGTTCATAAACTTTATTTTCACATATACATGATGTTCTGTAGAATTGTATGTGATATGGGGGGTCACAAGTTATCTACATAATATAATTTTACTTAGTCATTTACTGAATCACTCCTCAACTAAAATACATATCTGAATTTTTCACTGTCTTCACCAATGCTAATATTAACATCTTCGGTATACTAAGCTTTTTTTTTTTTAAAGAATTATTTTATTTAACTTTATTTATTTATTTTAATTTGACCAGGGAGAGAGAGAGAGTGAGTGAGAGAGAGAGAGAGAATGAGGAAACAAGCCACCAGGTCTGGGACTCGAACCGTGGTGGGCCATGTGGGAGTCCAGCATCCTTAACCTCGGTGCCACCTGCCGGCCCAGGCATACTAAGCTTTTATGGGGACCATATTCTTCCTTCCCAAGAATTTCCTGTAAGTATTTAAGGTTTAAAAAATACTAACAATATATACTAACAATAACAATCTTATTAAAGGACCAATGGACCTAATCAGGAAAACTTGGTTACCCTCTAAAAATACAAGACACCAAAAATAAGTAAAAAATGGTTGTAAAAGAAACTCACTGAACTTTAGGGCTGGGACAAAAGGAAACAGAGGTCCTAAAGCTGGTCAAATGTGAGATACTAGGTACCAGCAGTCTCATCGCTAGAAAATGTTTCTCGTGCCTGAAAATAATCCAAGGCAAAGGGAAAAAAAGCAGCTAATCCTCACAGGCAGGAGCTTAGCCTGGGGCTGGACTGTTCTAGTCTCGGTCTAATCCAAGATCAAGAGATCTGGAATGGTTTGTTTTAACCAGAATTGGGGAAACTATTATTGAGTCCTTGGAAAAGTCATGATGCGCTTTTGCTAGGCAAAAATGCAGCCCGACCTTTCTGACCCACTGCCTCAGGGACTGCTGTGAAGCTCACCTGAAAGGAGTGTCTCTCAGTGCTTGCTGCTCATCTGTCCATAATGAGCACTCGTAAACTGTCACGGTGATGTAACAAGCAAGGCAGCTGCTTCTGACCAAAACGGAATGCAGGACTCCAAATCTCACCCCTACAGCGGTTTCTGCTTGGAAACTAAGGTCTTTTTCTACTAGCTCAGAAAGGGCCTGGAGGTATTTTTATTACCATGAGTGTCAGCTGTGACCCGAGTTCATTGGCGCAATCTTTACATTCCACTGTGCTAAAAGCTTTCTCATGCAGGGATAAAAGGAGCCTTTGTCTCAAGCTTGTAAAAGGCACCATCTTTGTTAGCTGAGTTAACTGCGAAACTTTTGAGTATGTTTCTCAGTAGCATGTTGGGAAACCACAAGAATCTAGGCCCAATGTAGTGAAAAGGATGAGTTTTGAGAAAACAGTTGTGTGTGCACCTGTGTGTACACATACATACGTGCGCACATGCGTGTGCTTGAAGGTAACCTATTCTGAGAACCGTCTCTATGCCAGACACTGCTAAATGCTTCATACTGTACTTCACAACAATCCTGTGAGGTGAGAATTCTTTTTTTAAAGAATTATTTTATTTAGCTTTATTTATTCATTCATTTCTTTCTTTTTTTTTTTTTTTTAACTTGACCAGAGAGGGACAGAGCGAGAGGGCAAGAGAGAGAGGGAAAGTGAGAGAGCAAGCTTCCAGGTCTAGGACTTGAACCGTGGGCAGCCATGTGGGAGTCCAGCGTCCCAGGGTCCTTAACCACCACGCCACCTGCCGGCCCCGTGAGGTGAGAATTCTAATGAGTCCCACTCTGTAGGTAAGGAAACTGAGTGCCTGTGAAATTTGGTGTTTTCCTTTAAAGTGCTGCTGAGTGGCAGAGCAGGGATTTGAAGCCAGGGTTACTCAAGCTATCAGTCATATCACTCTAATGACTAAAACCAACCAGAGTAAGATAAACCCAACAAATTTTAGTTTAACTTTCCAAAAATGACTACCTAACTTCCCACCCACAAGTACGGTTATTTAAAAGCACTAAAAGGGTCAGTTGGTAGCGTGGTGCTTAAGGTGGCTAGATCCCATATAACTGACTGTGTGGTTCAAGTCCCGGACCCAGTAATTTGAAATATATGCTGGTGCGTGTATATGTCTACTCAAAATCCCAAGAGAAGGATGAAGAAGGGACTGCAATTGCAATGGCCATCACTCTGGAGGGGTGCTTTCTCTCTCCCTCTCTCTCTTTGTCTGGCAAGCCCACAGGCAAAAATTTTAAAATAAAAGCACCAAAAAAATTAAGATTTTTAAAGGTCTAATTGGGATGCTTCATATTCCCCCTTCGGCTCCAGGTGGCATTGTAGAAGGTGGCCAGTGTCCCCAGAGGGCAGAAGGCCGCACTGAGGTGATAACGTGAACTCTGACCTCTAGTTAGACCCATAGGACATAAATGGGTCTTGCTGCTTTTCTTCCTGACTCTGGAAACAAAGGCACTCATTTCTCCAAGAGTTTAGCAAAGATGGCCATCCAAAACAAGACAGTGCTGAGACTGGAAGCGGCGTTATTAGTAAGCACATGGACAAACACCAGGATATACGGTCACCCACATTTTAGGTTCCAGGCTGTCCTGGTTGAAGGTTCCAGTGTTTCAGTGAACTGTACGTGAACTGTGTGAGTTCGTCAGTGACTTAAAATGCTCTACGTGGAGGGCCAGCAGGTGGTGTGGTGGTTAAGGCACTGAATTCCTACATGGCCAATAGTGGCTCGAGTCCATACCTGGCGGCTTGAAAATCACTCTGGGTGCATGTAAATGTGTGCCCTCAATCTCTAGAGGAGAATGGAGAAGGGACTGTGGTGTGGCCATTCCCCTGGTGGGGAGTGGTTTCTCACTTTCCCTCACTGTGTCTGTCTCTCTCCGGTAAGCACATGTGCCCTATGGCAGAAATCTTAGAAAAACAAAGCAAAAAAAAAAGTTTAATGGGAATGGTAAAATGCGACCTGGCTCTACAGCAGGGATAGGAGCCAGCACCTGCTTGGATTGCCTGGTCCCATTTGCATTTCAACTAGCTTCCAATGGACTTTGTCCAGAAGGGAAAGTGGAGAATCACAAAAGTTGCCAGAGAATCACAAATTCTCTCTCTATGAATTTGGGCAACATGGCAGCACCAAGACCTCTTCATTAACCTAAGCCGAAAAAGTCCGAGCATCCACTTCTGTGGGTATAGATAACAAGATGACTGGGAGAAGTTCTTGCTCAACTCTCACCAATTAAAGGCTTTACTTGTTTTATTTCAAAAGGGAGGCTTTTATGTTTCCGGCCTTCTCTTAGTCATCATGGATCTCGAGGAAGCTCCTTTAATTTGAGCCCCAAGCCTAAAGAGGAGGGTAATTTACAGGGTTTAAAAAAAAAAAAAAAAGAACTGCATTTTTAACATATTAGATCAACCTAGGAGCAAAGCAGTAAAATGTTCCCAGCATTTTTCCAACAAATGTAATGACATTCACAGCGACCCAGGACAAGAAGGGCCCTTAGGAAGCACCATGGCCAACTTCTTCCTCACAGCAAAGAACAGGCCAAGCCCAGAGCACACACCCAGGGGACCAGATCTGCCTCCTGGTCTGTTTCTCTTTCATTATAATATTTGGTTAAAATGTTGTCTCCCTTTTTAGATCTTCTTCTCTCTGAAAAGAAGGGGCAGGGAGAGAGGAAGGGAAGGAAGAAAAGTTTGGGATGGGCTAGGTCTGGACACACTCCATCACAGCTTGGTGAGGCTTTCCAGTGACCAGAGTAAAGAGATTTGAGGGAACAGAGAGACAACTGAAGGGGCCTCAGTAAGACCTGACCAGACAAGGACAGGTGTATCGCCTACCTTTGGTCTTGATGGCCGTTTCGATGTTTAAAGCGTCACGCTCGGCATCAAAGTTGGTGTAGGCTTTGACGGACCCGTATGCACTTGGGGGCGTGGAATGCTGTGGTTAGAAGACAAACACACTCAACTGACACGCATCTAAAATAACACACACTGAAAGTGTTGCAATAACAATTCCTAAAATAACCTTTTTCTATGGTTTCTTTTAATGATTTGAATAATTCTTATGCTAGGTACCCAGGTAAATAGGAATACGCCACCACACGTTAGACTTTTATTTTCTTCTAATGAAAATCCTTCCTCCCAGACTTGGCTAGTTTCCAATACGCTGTCCATGTTCCCACCTTCCATCTGACTGGTGAGCACTCACAAGCAGACTATGCGCAGTGGGGCCTTGAAACCAGTCTGTATTTAGGAAGGTTGTGAGGGGCAGAAAGCTGGGCTGGCAACCATTTGGAACAAGCTGACAATGAGCAAACTGCCTGACAGGCCTGATTAGCCACGGGCACTACCGGTACATCAATCGCCACTGGGCCCACATCACTGAGCTCACAATTCTTTACAAAGCAAAGGTGGGCCGGCTCTGTGGCCTCCTGGTTAAGGCAGCCAGACCCCGCACGGCCAACTGTGTGGTTTGAATCCTAGACCAGAAACAGTTGAGAAACACACTGGGCACATGTACAAGCATGCTGAAAATCCCAAAAGGAGGGAGAGACAGAGGAAAAGGACTTGCAGCGTGACCACTGACCACCAGGGGTACTTTCTCCTCTCCCTCTCTTTCTGTGTCTCTGGCATGGGCATGAATCCTCTAGCAAAAAAAAAAAAAAAAAGTAAAATGCTTGCCCAGTGTCTTTCTCAGATAAGTGAGGGAAGGACCTTCCTTCACCCCTTGACTTTGGTCACCACCATGGCTAAGGTGGCAGTAGGGGATCTGGCCAAACAACCCACATCTCCACTGTGTTGCCAAGGGCCAAGTTCCTCCTCCTCCCTTCTCTGAGATCGCTTCTCTTCTCTATTCTTCCCTCTGCCTTTTACCACCACCTCCCCTGCGCACTGCTCCCCCTAGCATTTTTTCCCCTTTTGGCCTTTCCCAGTGCTTTTCAAGGCCCATTACCCTTTCTATCTGATACACAGGCATCTCCATCATCCCACCCCCACCCCTCTACACTGAGCTAAAAACAATGGCGGGTTCTACATTAGTTCTCCTTTCCAAGGCATTGACTTCCCTCCTTTGAAATGCTTTTACAGTCTTGCTCCTCCCTGCTATGCACCCTCAAAGCAAAGCGCAGTCATCGAGGACAGACATACTGTTTGAGGTGGCTGGTGGCCAGTGCGCCATCTACCACTGCCCCAGCACCGCCCCCACCATCGCTGTCAAGGCTCCATCCTGCCTGCCCCTACTGCCTCCCCCGGTACATAATGCCCACACAAGGTGATGACTGGCCTTGGTGCAGTTTCTGTGAAGAATCAAGAGACTGTAGTGCCCTGACTTATCGCTCCACCCACAGGATCACCTTATGAACCACCCCAGCCACACCAAGTGGTTTTATCAGCAGTGAGCTTGTACAGTGAGCAACCAGTGTCTCCCAGGACACACTGGAAATCTATGCTCGGGATTAGACATGTTTCCAAATGTCCTCTTGGCCAAATAATAAACCGAGTTAATATTTTTAACTCTAAAACACAAATGGGTTATCAAAATAGGTTCCATCTAATTTCACTACTTAAACTTTCCAGTAGATTAACTCAATGAAAATTGAGTACACATTCAGGAAAACTTAAAGGCACAGTGTTTTTTTTTTTTTGAAATACTGTTATTTGCTATGGCAGCCACACAACATGGGTGGACAGCTAAGGAAAATATATGTTCCCATTTGTTACCAGTGCTGTCTGTTACTCATTTACAAAGGCAGGCCGTCTGGCTGCTGAGCCAGATCACACAAGGCTTCAGTTACCAGGAGATAGGTGTCTTGTTCCAAAACCAACAGTAAATGGGAAAAGTTCCGCATGGTTTTATATCATTCTTGGAAACAAAGTTAAAGGATATTTGAACCTAGTAACTATAAAATCCAAAATCCAATTATCTAAAAAATCAATTTTTTTTTCTTTTTTTTGAGAGGTTTTTGCTATAGGGCATGTGTGCTTGCCAGAAAGACAGAGAGACAGAAAGCGAGAAATCACCCCCCAGGGGGGATGGCCACGCCGCAATCCCTTCTCCTCCATTCTCCTCTCGGGATCTTGGGCACATACACACACACGCCCGGCGTGAGTTTTAAGCCACCAGGCCCAGGACTTGAACCGTGGTTGACTACATGGGAGTTCAGTGACATAGCCATTACGCTAACTGCTGGCCACTAAAAATCAAATTTTGGGGGCAAAAGTGATCTTTTCTTTCCTTAAAATATTGGGTAACATGTGACATTTTCTACTTCACCCATCTCTCTCTAGAGAAATGTATATTAGAGTGGCTGGTTCCCACAGTACAGTGATGAGGTGCTATACATAGAAAGTCGGATTCCACAGTTCAATTCCCATCCCTGGTGACTTGAAAAATGCACCACCAGCACATGTGCATGTGTGTCTAAAATCCCAGCAGGATGGAGAAATGGTAGAGAAGGAACTGCAATGTGACCACACCTCACTGGGGTGTTCTCTTTCTCGTTCTCTCTCGTGTACATCCTCACTGGCAAAAAAATAAAATAAAATAAAAAATAAAATAGAGTGGAATAACTCCAAAGGTTAAATGAAAAACCCTCTCATGAAACCTGATACTAACAACAAGCTAATGATCAAATCCAATAAAGTAACAAATTATTTAACACCTGGGCTTGTCTGGACCTCAGCAAGAAGCTTGCCAACCACAACAGACACAAGCTCCAAGAAGAAAGATTAAAAAAAAAAAAAAAAAGAAGGCTTCATTTTCCATATAATCTGTGCTTGTACCCACTCCACTCATTTAAACAAGTGCCACAGACAATGCACAGGGCTTTGTACCATGTGACCTAAGTTCTGTCATCCTCTTTTGAGTGCCTCTAGCATTTTTACTTCAATAAGAGCACATTTTTAAGATCTGCGAGATCTGCCTACAATCCAGCGTCAGCACTGAGTTTTTATAAAAGCCATTTCTACTGAGATGACTTGGAAGATAAATGACATTATTAGACATTTTATATATGCATAAGTTATATTCTAAAGGGATTTGCAATGATTTCTAATTTCATAAGTAACTAAAATTTTTAACTATAAATGAAGTCAATGCACCAGAATTTCCAGGTTCACATATTTCCTGTGAAAGATAATTAAATTCTGAGCTTTCTGATAACCAAAGCAAAAAAAAAAAAAAGAAAGAAAGAAACATGATCAATTATAATAATTGCTTTTCTTTTTAAAGAAAAACATTCCAACTCTTTTGGAGGAAAGTTTTCTCAGGTGCTAAATAAAAACATAAGTCCTTCTCTAGAATAATTTCCTGGAAACTTAGTAAGTTCAAAAAATGCAGAATCATGCTTGATATGACTGCAGCTTATGCCAAATATCAATAAAATTATTTGTATAAATTAAAAGCCAGGTGGCGTGGAGGTTAAGGTGCTAAATCCCACATGGCAAGCTGTGAGGTTCAAGTCCCAGACCCTGCAGCTTGAAAATCACACCAGATGCATGTGTGTGCACGCCTCAAATCCTGAAAGGAGACTGGAATAGAAGGGACTGCAGCATAGTCATCCCTCTAGGGGCTGATTTTTCATTTTCTTCTCTCTTTTTCTGACTCTCTCAGCAAGCACAAACACCCTGCAAATAAAACTTAAAAAAAAAAAAAAAAGCCATATACCATCATAACATCAATATTGACATGCTAGGTACGGAAGAATAAAAATCCAGCCATTTCAGTGTCACTATGTCCAATGTCAACGTGATGGCAAAAAAGTCTTGCACCATAACTTTTTCAAATCGAACAACTAAGAACTGCTAAAGTAACGAGGAAATAAGCCAGAGATTGTCTCCATTCTGATCCCATGTTCCTTAGATATATAAGCAAAGAGCAAGATGTTATCTAGAGAGGAGACCAATTCGTGAAAATCACACAAAGTGAACATTATATACTCACATCGCCCTCCAAGCTGAGCTTGCACAGAATTTCATGAACAGTAGACATTTTGAAAAGAGCTGAAAAAAAGTACAACAAAAAGACTTTAAGAAGCAGCTTTCCTTTCCCCCGAAGCACAGTGATTCATTATACTAATTTCTACTTCTTGGACCATTTCATCTGAGGATATTAGAGTAAATTTTGTAAATAGATGTAATTCCCGTCTTGTGATTGGGAAAATTAAGGTTTAGAGATGGTTTGCCTTAGGTTTGGGATGGGGTGCTAAACTAACCAGTCTTTCTCTTGTTCTGTTTAACAGGACCTTGGGAGATTGATTTGTGAACACTAAAGCAAAACGATCCCTAAGGCTAGTTTAGCAACCTGTTCAAATAGGATGAAACTCAGTCTTCCCATTCCCGTAAAATCTGATACACTCGTCAAACTTGCCACTACTTATTTTTTCTCACAAGTAATTTTAGCATACTGAAAAAGGTCTGACAACTAGGGGTGTGAGCTGAAACCAATAGCAGTTTGCATGCTGGCCCATTCCTTAATGGAACCCCTTACACTGCTCATCTTTTTCTTTCTCTTTTTTTAGTGCGGTGATGCTTAAAAGGTATTAAGCTGTTAAAAAAAAGATATGAAGCTGTTGATGAGAAGAACAATGAGCAGAGTTTCTGACGTTAATTCATCCTATCAAGCACTGAATTCTTTGTATTTAAGGTTCAAAATGGACGAGATGAAGTTATCTTCTTTCCGTCGATGCACTGAATCAGACAGCGACACCAGACCTGATGAACTGTTTTCGGTTTTGCAATCATACAGTTCTGGGAATCAATACACTCAACCCCTGCCAATAGAGAATGCTCAATTGGCAGTAACGCGCTTCAACTGAGACAAGACAGGTCGGTCAGCATAATCACCCCCCAAATAAAGAAAACAGGGCAGCACTGAGTCCTGAAATAGTTGGAAACAACATTTAAATTGCAGTCACTTCTGCTCTGGTCTCTTAATATCCTTTGCTCAAAGAAACTGCAAGTGGAAATCCAGCTTTCCGTTCTCTTTGGGGATTTTTTTGCCTTTTTTTTTTTTGGAGACGTTTTTGCCATTGGGCACGTGCATTCGTCCGAAAGACAGAGAGACAGAAAGCGAGAAATCACCCCCCAGGGGAGATGGCCACACCACAATCCCTTCTCCTCCATTCTCCTCTCGGGATCTTGGGCACACATGCACACACGCCCAGCGTGAGTTTAAGCCACGGGGTCCAGGACTCGAACTGCGGTGGGCTACATGGGAGTCCAGCAACATAGCCATTATGCCAACTGCCAGTCCCGCTTTCTGTTCTCTTCAAACAGTCTGCTTAGCCTAAGTGTTTTCTTAAGACTGGTTCAGGGAGAGTGCTGACATAGACACTTGCTAAATTGTAGGAATGTTTCAGACTGAGCAGATTCCAGGCACTCTGGGGATGGGAGGTGGGCACTGTGAGAGGGGACGATTTGCCATAATTTGTGGTTACGAATGTGCTTCTGCAAGACTTTCATCCTGAGCTCACTCCTAGACCATCCTCTCTTCCTGAAGTTCACAGCGTGTTTCTTTTCGTTTGTTTGTTTTGTTTTTATTTTTAAGAGAGTTTGATTTTTTTTTTTTTAAAGAGAGATTTCTGCTATGGCAGGTACGTTTGCCAGAGAGACAGAAAGCAAGAAATCACCCCCTGGGGGAATGGCCACACCGCAATTCCTTCTCCTCCGTTCTCTTGCATGCACACAGATAAGCCCAGCGTGAGCTTGAAGCCATAGGGTCCAGGACTCGAACCATGGTCAGCCATGTGAGAGTACAGCTATGTAACCATTACGCCATCTGCTAGTCCTGCTCACAGCGTTTTAAGCAAGGAAAAAATAGTCAGTCAAAGCTATTCCAGTTGCCCCCAAGCACCTATAATTTCCAAACTGATTCTTTTCTTCAGTAGATCCTGCCAGTGGGGCATAATTCTAGCTTGTAAAAAGTTCTGCTGTATAAATAAACTGTGGTACATCCAGAACATGGAATATTATTACGGCCATGAAGAGACATGGAGGGGAAGCCAGAGTCAGCAGGTGCATGATGGTTAAGGTGCTGGAATCTCACATGGCCAACCATGTTGCAAGTCCTGGATCTAGGGCTTGCTTTCTCATTTTTCCTTTCTCTCTCTGGTCAAATTTAAAAAAAAAATAACAACAAATGGAATTTAATAAATAAATAATTCTGAATTAAAAAAAGAACAAGAAAGAAAGATATGGCAAAAACTGAAATACATACTGCTACGTAAAAGAAGTCAGTCTGAAAAAGCTGCATCCTATTTTACTCCAAATACGAGATCTTGGAAAAGGCACGCATGTGGAGACAGTAATGGATGGGTGGCTGCCAAGGGTGTGAGAGGAACAAAGGAATAAGCAGGTACAGAGGATATTTAAGGCAGTGAAATGTTCCGGTACGAGGCCACAGTGGTAGATACGTGTCTGTATATATTTGTCAAGACCCACAGAAAGTCCAGTACTCAGAGTGAACATTACTGTAAACTATGGACTTGGGGTGATAAGGATGTGTCAATGGAGGTTCATCAATTCTAGCAAATGCTCTGGGACAGGCTGTCGAGGGTGGAGGAGGCTGTGTCTGTGTGGGGACGGAGAATATATGGGCATTCTCTGTGCTTTCTGTTCAATTTTGCTGTGAACCTAAAACTGCCCTAAAATTAAAGTCTATTTCAAAGAGTCTTGCTTTGTATCTGAACTGTCCAGTCCAGTAACCGTCAGTTTCACGTGGCTAACAAGCATTTGAAATGTGGCCAATCCACACTGAGATGTGCCGTAAATGTAAAGGACATACTAGATTATGAAGGCTGGGTATGGAAAAAAAAAAAAAGATAAGACTTTCATTAAAAAGTATAATAAAACTGAAGTGGCTGGCAGATGGTGTGGTGGTAAAGGACGCTGGACTCCCACATGGCCAACTATGGTTCAAGTCCCAGACCTGGCGGCTTGCTTTCTCACTTTCTCTATTACTCTGTCCCTCTCTGGTCAAATTAAAAAATAAATACATAAAGTTAAATAAAAGAATTATTATTATTTTTTTTTTTTTAAAAAGGGGGAGCCACGAGGTGGCATGATAGTTAAAGGCGCTGGATTCCCACACAGCAAACCGCGGTTCGAGTTCCATAACTGGAGCCTTGCTTTTTTCCTTTCTCTTTCTCTCTCTCTCCATCCCTCTCTGGTCAAATTAAAAAATAACAACAACAAATGGAATTAAATAAATAAATAATTATTTAAAAAATAAATTTTAAAGAGATTATATGTTGCAGTTATGATATATTGGGTAAATTGAATGTATTATTTGAACTTAACCTTATTCATTTCTTTTACCTTTCTTAATACAGCAACTATGCAATTTACAAGTGCATATGCAACTCACATTCTATTTCCATTAGGCAGTGCTGATCTAGAGGATCCCATAGCACTATGGCCCATTCAAATCCAAAAACCTCAGCCTGAGAATAACCAAAGAAGAGGTGAATCTCTTAGGACATTGAACTACCCAGGTCCTGGTCTTAACTATTACACCTGGGACGTGGTTAGAACTGGGCTACATCTGCAATGAGGGATAAACCATTGTCATCTGTCATTCCTTGCAGTGTTCTAGTCACTACCATAAACGACTAAGAAATAAAAATGCCAGAAGCAGAATAAACCCAAAAAAACCAGGAGATTAGGAAGTTGGAGTTGCAGACTTGTTTCCACTTCCGAAGTGTGGCTCACATTCAACTTACTAAATCAGGTACTTCGCAATGGTTCTGATGCTTGGAAAATCTTATCTACAGAGGCAGAGTAAGTTGTTACTGTGTTAGTCTTTCAAGTTGTCTTTCCAGCTCCAGCACTGGCTCTGTAGACAGCGGTCTGGCAGAACCCCACATGGGGACTACAGAGTACTATCGAGATCAAAGACAATCGGATACACTTCTTTACACTCGCCATTCATGTTTCCCTCTTCTCCTACAGCCACAACACCTTGAGGAGACAAATAACAAGGATTTTTTTTTCTTAAGAGAGACTTTGCTATAAGGCGAGTGCAATAGCCAGAAAGACAGAGAGACAGAAAGCAAGAAATCATCCACAGGAGGGATAGCCACACCGCAATCCCTTCTCCTCCATCCTCCTCTTGGGATTTTGGACAAGCACGCACATGCACCTGGCATGAGTTTTACGTCATCGGACTGGGACTCAAACCACAGTCGACTACGTCGGAGTCCAGCAACATAACCACTACGCCATCTGCTGGTTCCAGTAACAGGGATTTTTAAAAGCCCCGGATCTTCCTTCCCATTTTGACATTCGTATTTGTGCTGCACTCTCATCAAATCAGTCCTGCATGCCACTATCAACTCAGCCTCTCTACTTCATCTTATCAAAGCAGTTCGCAATCAATTCTTCATGACTTCCTCTTATTCTAGCAGAACCCGGCCTTCAAAGATGAGTGTCGGAACGCACCTTCACCTCCCTCTAGATGGGAACCCAGCCTCACATTCCTCTATTGCCCCAGGGAAAGGAGACAGGACCTACGTGCTCCTTGCCACTCCCCAAACACCGGGCACTCTTTTCACCAACAGCCCTCGGTTGATGACCAGTCCCGACTCCTACATGCCTTACTCTCACCTTCTTCTATTCCGAGACCCCATTCACTTTTCACGTCACCGCTACTCGGGCATCTGCCTCTCTACTTCATCTTATCAAAGCAGTTCGCAATCAATTCTTCATGACTTCCTCTTATTCTAGCAGAACCCGGCCTTCAAAAGGTCTCTGTTCACAGACCCTCTCCCACCTTTCAATGGCAGAAGCACTTTTTGATCCTACTTCAGTTCATCCATTCAGAAGAGTATATTGAGGACCCCTCCAGGTGCCAATTATTCAAAAGATGAGTACAGAAGTACGTAAGCACCATTCCAAGCAGTGAGGAGAATGTGTAACCTCCTTTTCACTAGAGTCCCAGTCTCCTACAAATTTAAGAGCACCTTTGCACACTGTAGATGCTAAATAAACTTTTAAAAAAATGA